ATCACAGACTATGCATTCTATGTTCTGCTGTATACTCAGAGAAGTTTTTGATATAAAGCAGAAAGCTGAGATTTATTGACTTAATGATCTAGTCTAAGAATATATACAAATACATGGTAGACTAAAAAAAAGCAAATATGGTAAAAATTTGCCAGAGAAAAATCATTTTTGTTTTGTTATTTCTTTGCCACTACCAAGGACTGAACCTAGGACCTCACACACTGCTCAAGCACGTTACCACTGAGCTATGTCTTACTTCAGTAAGAAAATGAACTACTGAATCACTTTTTGTTCACATACCAAGATATACTTACTTAATATCTATTATGTGGTGTGAATTGGTGTCTATTTGAACTTCTTTACAATACGATAAATACTACCAATATTATTTTACAGAAGAAACTGAAGATGAGAGTCAAGTAACTTGTCTAAAAGTAACATGGTGTTTCTGGGGGATGTCTTTCTATATGCTATGAATATGTTTTGCTCCCATTGGTTAGTAAATAAAGCTGCATTGGCCTATGGCAGGGCAGGATGGAGCCAGGTGGGAAAATCCAAGGGAGCTACTAAAAGTAGACAGGTGAAAAACTGCTGTCCAAGGAGCAACATGCAATGGGATGCAGGTAAAGCCATGGAACATGTGGATACATAGATTATTAGTTATGGGTTGAGTCAAGTTGTAAGAGCTAGTTAAGAAGAATCCTGAGCCATAGGCTGATTTTACATATTCACAGCATACAGAAAGACATCCCACAGCATAGTGTTTTTAACAAAAGGAAAAACCCTGAGCTGCTCAGATGTTGCTTCTAGGAACTTACAAGAACAGTAAAGGTATTCCACTTACAATACTCAAAAAAACTTCACTTCTAAGTCTGGAGAATTAGTAATTCTAAATTTTAAATGACAAGCTATCTCAAGTATTATTTCTCCCTCTTTGCATAGTTCAATTGTGACTGGCAGCAATCATAGGAAAGGTAATTTTCTTTGACCTTCCAAGTGCACTGAAGGGCTTTTATCCAGATCTATTTTCTATGTGGAAATTAGAGTTAATGGGGGACAGAGTTAGGGAAATATTATGTACTAACAGAGCAGAGACACCTGAAGGCAGATACAGCAAATGTATGACTAGTCATTAAGACAGGTGTTGGGAAAACTGTATGCAGCCTTAACAGTCAAAAGTCTCCACAATGTTCACAAAGCTTGGGGCAGAAACTCATTTTTCTAGTCTATAAAAGCTAACCATAAAAGTTACATTGCTTTTGAGCTTCAAATCCTTCAACAGAAAATTAGTCTTGTATCATGCAAGCAATGACATTTGAGAGAATCCCTCTCCAGGAGAAACAAACTTTTCTTCAGCAACAGGATTATTATTCCTTTGCTTTTTCTTTTGAGTTACATTTAAGTTACATTATCAAAAAGCCTCCCCTTTCTTGACATCTGGGAAGAACGTGAAAGCCATGCATCAAAACTTTACGCCACAGGAACCTTAAGACAGGACAAGGGGCTGAAGAGATGGCTCAAAGGTTAAGAGCACTAACTGCTCTTCCAAAGGTCTTGAGTTCAATTCCCAGTAACCACATGCTGGCTCACTACCATCTATAATGAGATCTGGTGCCCTCTTCTGGCCTGCAGGGATATGTGCAGGCAGAAAACACTGTATACATAACAAATAAATCTTAAAAAAAAAAAAAAGGACAAGATTTTACTTTGTTATAACTTACTATCCCGATAGTATTAGCGAAAATCAGAAAGTGAACACATTATTCAGGGAGTCTTAACACTTGCTCTTGCAAGTTCCATATTTGTTCACACTTTCCAAGTTATGAGAAAAAGTGCAATGGCCACTACCAAAATATTTTGTGTGTCCTGAAGCTGAGCAACTTCACATGCCTTAAAATTCAGTTATCTCAGAAAGCCACTCCCACCCCAGCTCACAACCTACTCACTCAAATTGATGGTACTCAGTTCCGTTTGAACAGTTTTGTTTGCTAAGTGAAAACCATTTGTACTTAAGAGACTCCCAAGGGTCATCTAACACAAACACTCTCATTGGACATTTCCATTCCATTGAAAACTAATCTAGACTAGTTCAGAGTAAAAACATATCAATAAAACCTATACATTTGTTATAAATTAAAAAAAAAAAAAAAGGCTGTCAAAAAAAGTACTAAGTCAGGCCAGATGTTGTGGTTAATGCCTGTAATCGAGCCATTCATGAGGTTGAGGCCAGGATTCTGAGTTAGGGCTGGTCTGAGCTACGCAATGAGTGCAGAATCAGCCTGAGATACAGAATGAGACACGACATCTTGAGAACCCAAAAGCATGTCAAGAATTTCAGCAGCAGCACTTAAAAAAGCCATACCTAGCCTGTAAGAGACAAACACTGATCAGCTAAGTATATAACACACCACTGCTTTGCCACACACTGGACTTAAATCTCTGGCATTTATTAAAAATGACTGGCCCCAAAAGGCTATGGAAACCAACCCTTTCTGCTAAAATGCCACACCTGGCTCTACGTCTGTGTGTACATTTTATAAGAAAGTCAATTTCACGTTATAAAGCACCATAGGTATTTCATTCTACATAATGCAATAAATCTGAACATTTTATAATAGAATTCCTGGGAAGGCACTTCAGTTTTAAAAAGGAGGCACATTTATAAACTGCAGGCTCCTTACTACTGTCTTTATCACTTAAAATCTTGACATTTCACAATGACAAACTGTTCACAAATGAAGAATGGCAAGGGACACTGCTCCCACTCTAACAAATGAATTTGGGCAGAGTAAACAGATGAGAAATACATAAAGAGTAAAGATGATGTAACTAGAGAGATGGTTTTAAGAAAAAAATCAGTGAATTTAAACTTAATTTCCACATTAAAAACAATTTAAAGAAACATATATGCTCTTATATGCTTTGATGCTTCCTAAACTCAGTAAGATTGGAGTAGTATTTTATTTAAACAATACAGATGATAGAGAGCATTTGTCCAGGTTATATCCTGGAAACTTGTAAGAATTCACTTACATAGATTTGGAACTTCAACAAGAAAATAGGATAATATTCTCCAAGTTTAGAAGTTGTACCTTGGAGAGGAGACAATAAAATTACAAATTCAGGGGCTGGAGAGATGGCTCAGCGTTAAGAGCAGCGGCTGCTCTTGAAGAAGACCCAGATTCTGTTCCTAGTACCTACATAGCTCTGCTCACAATGATTTTCAACTCCAGTTCCAGGGGATCTGATGTCCTCTTCTGACCTCCACGGACACCGGGCACATGTGGTACAGACATACATGCAGGCAAAACACTCATCACGTAAAATGAAATAATCTAAAAATTTTTTTAAATTATAAATCAAAAGGTCTAGACTGGGTAAATATATAGCTCAGTGGTAGAGCCTAGTATATATGTATGACTCCTCTAGTTCAGTGCCAAGTAACCATGCCCCCACTGATAAAAAGTGTAAAACTGTAATTGTTTTCTTATGAATTTTGTTTTAAAATATCATTTGTGATGTTAAATAACACTGTTGGCATGCTAAGTTTTTATTAATTCAACCAGTCTCATTCATAAAATGAATAATCCAGGAAAATGACCTATATCCGAAAGACTTTAGAACATGTTGTTTCTCACTGCTCTGTCAGTGTTTTATACAGATATGCAAAATAATCCTCTTAATAAGGCAAATAGAACACTAGCAATTGTGGTCTCCTTGCTTGGCAACCAAAAGGCAAATAAAGTCTTCAGAATGATATTCTCCCTTAAGAAATCAGTACTAAGAATCACCCATTAAACAAATTGACCTTTAAAAAAAAATTCCAGGCTGGAGAGATGGCTCAGAGGTTAAGAGCACTGGCTCCTCTTCCAGAGGTCCTGAGTTCAATTCCCAGCAACCACATGGTGGCTCACAACCATCTATGAGATCCGCTGCCCTCTTCTTGCCTGCAGGCATACATGCAGGCAGAAGGCAGAACACTGTATACATAATAAATAAATAAATAAATCATAAAAAAATCCAAAAAAACCTTTACTGTAAATCCCAATTGAAATTGTCTTATGTAGAGGGGAGGGTGTATCTACTTCTTTCTGCTCATACAATGGAACCAGAAGTACTACTCAAGTTGGGGCTTGTGTGTGAACTGTTTCACACAGCTAGGACAATGGGCAATCTGAAAAGCAATGGACAGACAGGCCTGGTGATAATCTAAAATGTGCCTACCACATAAATTATTCAAGGTTGCCCCTACCTTTCTGCTAGTAGTCTAAGACTGTGATAAATAGCAAATATGTGACTGTAAATGTAAACCACTTCACTGGGGCTAGGGGTGTAGCTCAGGGCAGAGGCTCACATTGGCAATGTTCTGGGTTTAACCCTTACACAAGGGAACAAAGTAAATGGCTTCATGAGGTGTACAATTACACCAAATTACTCATGCTTCCTGTTTATCTTCTCCAGTGTGTATCATAACCAAGTCTACAACAATGAAGTTCAAGTAATCTGAATGCAGACAAAGCTCTCTCAGCAAAACCCCAAATATCTTCATGACTAAAAACATGCTAATTACTAAATAATCATGAAAAAGAACACAACTTCAATATTGGTCCTGAAACTTCCCATAAGGATGTCTGATCTTGCTCTTGCAAGTAAGAGCTTTGTAACAACAGAAATAGAGAAAACTTACAATTCACATTAAGAATACTGATTGAAAACACTTAATGGTTAGAAAATAAGACAACTTGGACATAATCTTTCCAACCCTACACTCTTTAGATAAGGTTTGTACATAAAACAGCTTTTATAGAAACCCACACTACTAGCTGCTATCAGAAAACAGTATCCCACAAGTTCAAATCACACCACTGACAGGCTACACTTCCAAATATTTGGATTGCTTAAAGTCTTTAAAGTTCTACAAGCTCATGGTGACTTTAGAGCTTCAAAAGTTAAAGAAATAAATTTACCAAAATAAATACCACTGACACCCAACGGACATCTTCACTTTAAGGCCTTTGTCACAAATCTGAATCTTTATTGTTCTGAAATAAATGTTAAAAACATAACTTGAAACAAAAATGTCAATATTCAGTCTCAGAAGACGTGTGGCTAAGTGCCCATCACATGGAACAAGAAAACGTCCTTTAAAAAAGGAAAAAGTACTATGAGAAGTCCTTCGTGAGTGAAAATGCACCCTTGGATATCCTCCTCCCCTCCGCATCTTCTTCACGACAGTTCTTGCTATGATGCTTGGCGGATTTTTTGCCACTCAACAAATTCATCAAGAAGAACAGGCCCTAGAAAGAAGACATAAGTTTTGTTAACTCAGTGAACTCATCCCTCTAAAAGGTTCTGAGGTGGCAAGGGCCCACCTGACCTGTCCTTCATCTACTGCTTTCTGTTTGTGTTTTTTCCCCCCAGGGTTATTTCCTTCTCAAGGAGTGTTTCATGAACTCCCCTATAACTGAGACAAAACTAACCTCTTCCCATAGCACTGGCATTTAAACAAACAATCAGAAAACATATTTCTGCTATATCAAGAAGTATGAGCACTTATTAAGGGGGAGTGGCCACATAAGACTGACTTTACTCTAAAAATGAAACAGAGTAAAAAGAACAGCATAAAGCAAATGCCTACTACCTATCTGACCACTATTCTAAAAAATAAGTTTGATAATGTAGAGGTTCCAAATGTTTACCAACAGAAGCCAAGTGGGCAATTTAAATGAGATTTCAGTATTTGTGATGTATGGAATTCAGTATTTCAAAATGTATGCAAAGTATGACCACGAAGAGATATGCTTGTCTTGTTTTTCTCAAAACATAAAACCTCTGGGTGTTCTTTTCTCTCTTGCTTTTAGCAGACCATACAAAAACAGCCGGGCAGGCAAAGCAGTAAATGGCAATGTTGGAATACTGCGTGGACTGCCAAACTGGAGAGCAAGTTCAACACAAGCCACTACTTGGTTCCAACCTCTGAAACCTACAAAGGAATACAGGTGCAATGTGTCAGATCTTCTGATAGTTCAAATAAATTTACAAGTTTATTTTTATAACAAACCTCTCAGTTTTAAATGTTGGCTCAACACACACAGATATACACCTCTGCAGGCTTATGTAGCTCTTGGGCTGTTAGCCTACTGCAGAAAGCAATTATTTCTTCAGACAAGAATTAAACTCTATGCAATCCTGTAGGGAAAGAACACTACACTTGGGAGGCAGGCTGTCTCTTTGGTACCTTGTTTCTTTTGTGTCACAGTGTTTTATTGCCATTTTTGTTATACCGCAAAGCACCATTCCACGGACACTGAGACACTATAGTACTCCAAATGATGGTGACTTAAAGTTTAAGAGTTCTACAGAATTAACTTGGCTTATTTGTTGTGCCTTTGTCCTTTTAAATGCATGAGTGAAATTTTTCTTCCACTGAAAAGGCAAGTACAAAGTAGGATTTTAGCTTCTAGGTTGAGAAATGATCATTTAGCTGTAATGTCTAGTCACTGAAGAATCAGTGTTTTTATTCACTAGCATTGATTTTACAACACTGCTAAATCTAGACTCTGCCTCCCCCAAATCCTGATTAAATAACTAGTTATTGTTACACTAGTTCAAACTTTCAGTTAAAGTCTCAGAATGCATTAACTCGATTAACATTTTTAGGAATTTTATTTTCATAGGAATGCATGATATACTTACAAGCACCATCTTCATCGTAGTTACTAAGATCGGCATGAACTGTTCTGCTGAATTCTAATACATTGTACCACTGATCTTTGTTCATAACACGATACTTTGATTGCTGTGGAAAATGATATAAAAATTTGGACTACAGAACCAACATTCTTATTGGGGCTTGATTTTCGTGACTATCCATATTTGGCCTTTTCTAAAATATTTCTTCCTTTCTTAATTACTTGCTGTTCTAATAATTAGTTATCATGTAGCAGTAAGACTGACATTGAGATTTACGTATGTGTACACCCAGGTAGCTCTCAGCTAGAACCTACCCTACACATAGTTGGTCTGTGTGGTTTCCACTATACAGAACTTGTGTGCACAACATAAGCTACATTTTGAAGAAGCCATCTACAGCAGTAGTGGGAACAATATGAGCTTGGATCTAAATTGCAATGTGGATACTCAGTTAAGTGGTCTTGGGAAAGCTACTTCTGTGGCAGAGAGCTTGGTGGGCAGGTGCTCAGGGTTCTATCTCCAGCAGTACAACTAGGTATGGTGACACACACCTGTGATTCCCACTTGGGCAGCAGAGTTCAAGGATGGCCTGGGCTATCTAGCAAGACTCTGTCAATGTCCCTTCAAAACACAAATCATCTCCCTCCCAACCACCACCACCACCACCACCACCACCACCACCACCAACAACAACAACAATAAAAATAAAAACTCAATAGTAAGCTAACCCCATTACCCATTGCCTCAGCTGCTAAATGATAAAGCTTGCTTGAATGATCTCTTTCTTTTTAGAGCCCCACAGAAATTAATATTTTTTGTATTTAGCTGAATGTATTTTTGATCAACTAAGAGGAGGAAGATATGTATCATTAATCAAAAATAACAACTTCACTGGGTCAAAAAATTTATCAATGTACAAAACTCATTTACCCAGGCTTTAAATAAAATTGCTCTGGAAAAGTTACCGTGACAAGTAAACAGCATGATGTTATTTCCAATAGAAAAGGCAGGTCTATTTAAGAAATGGTTAGAAATATGGCCCCAAAGGTTTAAAAAAAGAAAAAAACCAGACAAAGCAATTAGGAAAAAGCAAGCGTCTTAGAGCTAGCTGGAGCTCGCAGGTGCAGTACAACTCTTAAGAGGATATTAATTCTATGATCAGCACATGCTGCACAGTCAGCAGTGTATGGGTGACGGTTACAGCCATGCTCACATCTGTGGACGCAAAGTATTAACACTTCATTTCTTAATATTGAGTCCAAATTGAAAAGAAAAGTTTTATTAGTTAAGTAAGTTCTATGTTTCTACCTAAGACTAACTAGGGGATGGGGAGACTAGGGGATAGGGAGACTAGGGGATGGGGAGACTAGGGGATGGTGAGTGGGAATAGGGTAGAAACTGGTTTAGAAGCTTGAGATTTATGTACTAGCATCAATTTTCTCTCACCAAAACCTCAAGAAATTAAGTTTATAAGAAACGCCTATGCTAAAATATTTTTTCCTGAGGCTCCTCCTAGGTAGAATGAAAATCCCTTAAAATTGTTTTAATGTGGTATAAGGGATGGAATCCAAAGTGTGACAAATACAAAGCATGTATTCTATCACCAAGTTACACTCCAGTTCCCAAGTATCTTATACACAGAATATATAAACAATACAAACTTATGTCTAAAGCTGACAATAAGTATACATATTTTAGCAGATTTCTTTAATTACTTATGTAGAATTTTTAAAGTACAGAATTTGTCCTTTAAAAATGTATTTTCAAACACTTAAAACTACTCATACATACCTCTAGGTACTGGTAAAATACTGAAAAGAGTGGCCATGTTCTCCCAAGCAGCAGTGCTAACATAGACTTAGCAGTATCAATATCAAGGCTTCTCTGATCTTTATCCTACAATATTAGTGAAAAAAAATGTAAGTATGCCCATAAAATGAAAACACTTAGGATATTAAGGGGAAGCTGTACCTACCCTTGCAAAATCAAAGGCGTATCTGTAGATATTCTTAAACGATGAGATGTCATTTAGCTGTGAACGCAGAAAATCAAATCTGCTCTGTAACTTTTCTGTGCAGTCACACCTTAAAAACAGAGGTCAGAAGGAAAGCATTCTAAAACTGAGTGCATACAGGACCGTTCTTTAGGTCTGGCAATTTCAGTTGGACAATTTAAACTAACAGACATATTTTAAACTACCAATGCAAAGATTAATAAAGCAGAGGGAATGTGACAATCAGAGGACACTGCAATAACTCCTTCAAGGAAACCATCTCAATCAAAACTTCCAAGCAAATCACAAATATGTCTTGGTGTGAGGGGCAGAATGCCTGCCTAGTGGGCTCCAGACCCCATTTTCCATCCGAGTACTGACTCTTCTCCAAGGGCTGAACAAATGATAATCAGGTCGTTGCCACATTTCTTTAGAAAGTTTTTAGACATTGGCTTGGTAAAAAAAGATCAGTCACGCTTAGTCTTAAAAGTTTAGGATACCAGAGAGGAAAATAACGTATTAAGTGACCTAATCACAAATCCAGATTCTCGTAGTTTTGGTCAACAAAGTTGAGTCCAATTATCAAAGCACCCAACTGAAGGTGAAAATGCAGAGCTACAAACAAGTTGCCTCTATTATTTCTCAAGATTAAGACAGTAAGCAGAAACACCTCAATCAATGGAATACTCAAGTCTTGCTGGTTTTCTGATGCTGTTAAGCTCCACTACCAGGTTTCTGGTCACTTCCCAGCACTCCAGGCGTTTTCATTTACCATTCTCAAAGTCACAGGTATGCTTCAGCATACTTATTTCCTCTATTGGAAAGGATGAACTCAAACTTGCCATCTATGTGAGACCACCTGACTTTCCTTGATTAAACAGGGTATATCATCTACTGTAACCACAGTATTCCATTCAAACTGAATTTCAGAATTCACGATGTGACACAGACACTTGGTCTTCTAAAATTTAACCAAGATTTTTCATGATCTTAAGTCAGCAATGTGAGGGTCTATGTGATATAGATCACACTGTTAAATTAAATCTTTAGAATCTATGAAAAGCCATCTTTGTTACCTGTTTGACACACTGATAAGACATTTTAAAAAACACTCCTTGCTAGCTTTGATTGCAATCTTATAGCATCAGAAAACAAATTGAGGGTTATTTAAGAACTATTTTGTGAATACTTATTAAATACTGCAATTAGCATTTGTCCAAACTAGATAAAAGATAGACTTGTAACTACTTAACATTCAAATTTTCTGTTTCTTTGTAACCTATTTTTACTATTTTAATTTTTTTCTGATAATTCTATTACTTGCATAAAATCTGATTCAAGAGGACATTATAAAGATGGGAGATGAGAATAAGCATTATATACATGTATGACATTGTCAAAGAACAATTTTAAGTAATAAAAAATCTGATGTTGATTAAAATTATGTATGATTTTTTAACCTATACTCGTACCATTTTTTTTTTTTACTTTTAGTTCTTTTCTTGCCCAATACTGCCAGAATTTAAGTCATTTTGTATATCATTTGAGACTGCTGATTTGCTTTTTTGTGCAATTTCCTTCTATGTGACCACAAATTTTGTTAAGAATTTATTGCTTCTATTACATAATTCTGAGTGATAACATTTGCAAGATGTGTTTCAGGAGTGGCAGGGATAAATTTCCTAAAACAGGTTTAAGAGAGAATAAAAAAAGAAGACCTGGAGAAAATGAATACAAAGTCTTTCAATGGGTTTGGGCCTGAGTAGCTACAAGAGGGGCAGTAACCCAAATGGGATGAGAGAACAGTGGGTCCTGAAACTTTCTTACAGAAAATGTACTACCAATTTCAGCAACATTGAGAAGTGTGTTTCTCTTTCTCTCTGCTGCTAAGTATAACTAATACACATGGATCATATAAAATGCAAGACGATTCTGAATGAAGGCATGTGTGGTGGCACACACGTATGAAATCCAATATCTGAGAAGCTGAGGCAGGAGGATTCTATGTTCAAGGCCAGTCTAGGCTTATTGTTGCAAGATCTTAAATTCTGAAAGAGAAAGCCTTGAAAGAATGACATGTGGCAGTAAGCCCATTCAGTTTCTTTTTGCCTCAGATATCCTTGACACTGCAGATAACAGCAAGTTGGATGTGGTGGCACATGCCTATTAATCCCAGCTGTGGGGAGGCAGAGGAAAAAACAGAACCACTGGGGCTAGGGAAGACAGATGATGATCAGTGAATACAGTGCTTGTCACGTAAGCTTGAGGGCCAAAGTGCCAGATACTGAGCTCTGTTTTCAACTGAGGGATCCTGCATTAGAGTGGAGAGTAACTGAAGATGACACACAGGCCTTCACACAGACAAGCACACACATGTATGTGCAACTGCTCACATGTACCCACACATATATACATACCACACATACACAAAGAGACAGGAGAAAAGGAAAAGAAAACCAAATACTACTGGTCTAAAAAAGACAACAATGACTCCTAATGACATTCTGCTATACTCATAGATCAGTGCCTTATTCAGCCATTATCAGAGAAGATTGCTCCTCCAGCATATGGGAACAAACCAGACATTATGACACAGAGGGAGAGACCTTGAAACACACAGCTCTAAACTGGATGTCTCCATCAGATCCCACCCCTCGGAGCTCAAGGAACACTGCAGAAGAGGAGGCAGAAAGAGGATAAGAGCCAGAAGGGATGGAGGACACCAGGAGAACAAGGCCCTCTAAAACAACTGAGCAAAGCTCATATGAACTCACAGAGACTGAAGCAGCATGAACAGGCAGGGCTTGCATGGGTCTGCATCAGGTTTTTGTTTTATCTTATTATATTCTACTTTGTTAAAAAAAAATTTAACAATTTTCTTTGTGGGGGAAAAAAGGAGCTGGGGGTATAGCTCAGTGATCCAAAACTTGCCTAGCAAGGTTCAAGAAGACTAAGAAAGAAGTAGCCTGTGAAGACAGAAGGCTCTAACTGTGAACACTATTTCAGTATCACCAAATATAGTGGTCCAACTCCTGGCAATGGCAGTGGAGACTGAACTAGTGTCCTAACGTGTCCACGGTTCTCACTCTAGGGAGTACAGCAAAGCTTCCTCTGCTCAGGGGTGCTGTCAAGTTTCCTTGGTGATGAGTTAAGGTCTTCACCATCACTCAGTAGTAACAAGGACAACCCCAATAGGGTCAGTGACAATGTGAGGAACAGTAACAAGGCCCTCCTACCAGTTCTTGACAATGTGTCAGAATGCTGGGCTGGGCCTAAACTCTTACTCCTGCTCAGGAATAACACAACACATTCTCCTATTGAGTGCAGAATGGCAGTCACAGCAGATCCTCTCCTGCTGGGGTGGTGGTACAGTGAGACAGTTGATTAGCTTGAACTATTTAGGAGACCCCCAGGCAGTAGGACCGGGACCTGTCCTTAGTGCATGAGCTGGCTTTTTGGAACCTAGGGCCTATGCAGGGACACTTTGCTCAGCCTAGGTGAAGGGAGGAGGGGACTGGACCTGTCTCAACTGAATCTACCAGGCTGAGCTGAATCCCCAGGGGAGACCTTGCCTTGGAGGAGGTGGGAGTGGGGGGTGGATTGGGGAGAGGGGCCCCGGGCTGGGACGGCAGTGGGAGGAGGGAGGACAGGGGAATCCGTGGCTGATATGTAAAATTAAATTAATTATAAAATTAAAACAAAACAAAAGGATTATTGAGTAAGATACAGGGTCCATGGCATAATATCCAGATTGTCCAAGTTTCAAAAGAAAGATCTCTTACCAAGATAAGAAGGCAGATTTCAAACGGTATGTTTAGACCTATCTCTCTCATTTTAAAGCAGCTGTCATACATGCTTCAAAGGTTATTGTTAACTTACTAAAACAAATAACAGAAAACACTACAAAAAAAGGAAAGAAATCTATGAAAAGAAATGTAAGGTGTAATGAACAAAGTGGAAATGTTTGGACTGTAAAATATGTCCTCACATTTCCATAACATAACACGTGTTCTAAACAGACCAATTAGAAGGCATATACAGCCTGGGTTCATAAACAAAGAAATAACAAAAAAAAAAAACACAGTAAAACTATATACACTGTTTTGAACAAACTTCAAAAACCAATACAAGTATGCTTAAAGAGCAAAAGACCAGTGGTGGGGGTGGAATGTAAAGGGTGAATATAAGCAAAGCACAATAATATATTATGAAAATATCACAGTGAAACCCATTATTTTATATAATAAATTTAAAAAATTTAATTTTAAGAATGACAAAATAAAAGATCTAAAAATGACCTCTCACAGAAAACAGCCAAAAGAAAGCAATAGTGACTGTATTTGTATCAACTAATAAAACCTCAAAGCAAAGAAAATGATCAGAACAGAGAGGATAATTGTATAATGTTAAAAGGTCAACCCGTCAAGACATAGCAATCCTAAACAATCCAATATGTACCAAAGAACAAAGCTGTAAAATACATGAAGAAAAAAATGACAGGGCTTTGCACTGTGTGTTAATGGTATAGTACCTAGAATATATGCACAACAAAGAAGCCCAGGCAATCGAGTGCCCATTTAATGAGTTTGTCATCAGTCCCTATCTTGGAGTAATCTAATGTGATTCCCACTCTACTCAGGTCTTAAAACATGTCATGTTATTAACATGCATGATAGGTTATTAGTCAGATCTTAGGGGACCAGGAATATGATATAGGTATCCTAGCAATAGAGGCTAACTAGATACCAGATGTATAAATCCTAGCACAGTGATCCCTCTCATCATTTCTGGCCTTGGATTATTTTCTGTAGTTTAGAGATGAATTACAGTATGCCTTTTCAAAATAAGCCTTTATATTTTAACAAGCACTTACGTATTTTCCATGGAAATTACTTCTTTATGCTTAGCCTGTCAAACTGCCATAAATGAGATTATTATTATTATTATTATTATTATTATTATTATTATTTTTGTAACTCTAACTTGGCCAAGCCTAGTTCCTTACAATATATGCTTCATGTAAAAATAAGAAAAATCTATTCTGACTACTCATTAGAAATTCCTCTCTCGGTAGCTGATGTCAAACAGAAC